AATTATCATTTGTAGATTACATGTTTTTCATTTTAAAATAATCGATTTTTTAATATTATTTTTTAATTATTAATTATAGAACGCGTTGTTTTTTTTAAAATAATCGATTTTTTAATATTATTTTTTAATTATTAATTATAGAACGCGTTGTTTTTTTTAAAAATAATCGATTTCAATATTATTATTTTTTAATTATTAATTATAGATCACGCGTTGTTTTTTTTAAATAATCGATTTCAATATTATTATTTTTTAATTATTAATTATAGATCACGCGTTGTTTTTTTTAAAATAATCGATTTCAATATTATTATTTTTTAATTATTAATTATAGATCACGCGTTGTTTTTTTTAAAATAATCGATTTTTTAATATTATTTTTTTGATTAAAAAATATAATATTGTTTTATTATTATTATTATTATTATTGTTTTTTTTAAAAGTTGTTAAAAAAGAAAAAAATTTTTTTTATCATTATATTTCTTTGGATTGAAATTTAAAGAAATTAAAAAGTAAAAAAAAATATAGTCATCAAGAATTATCTATATTATAATTTTCCGATGTCCTCACTACGTCATCGTGACGTCATGTCATCGCTACGTCATGTCATCGCTACGTCATGTCATCGCTACGTCATGTCATCGCTACGTCATGTCATCGCTACGTCATGTCATCGCTACGTCATGTCATCGCTACGTCATGTCATCGCTACGTCATGTCATCGGTACGTATTTATTTTTATTTTATTTATTTTATTCAACAGATGATTAGAATTGATGATGTACACATACCTAACATGGATGAAAAACAATATTCCCTCAAATTTGTAAATATGAATGAAATATTTCACTTAATATTTTCTTTATTTTTTAGATTACCTTATCAATTTTCATCTCATATTATCAATTACACATTAATGAAATCTTTTTATACTCATATTTTTCTTTCATAACCAATAATTAAGAAGATAACCAAGTATATTCAAATATTTAAATATTCTTATCCTAACCTATTTATACTTAATAACATTACATTCATCATATTATTTTTTAACTTTTAGAATATCATAATAGGCTTGATAAGTCCCCCAAAAAATTTTTCCTGATGATAGCCAAACCTTATCAATTCCTTTAATTTAATTTTTATAATATAATATTTTATACCTTCTTTTTTCCCCCTTTTTTTAATCATATTTTTTAATTACCTTACAATTAATTAACCTTAATCTTAATAACATTACATTCATCATGTTATTTTTTAACTTTTAAAATATCATAATAGGCTTGATAAAATTTTTTTTTGATGATAGCCCTCCAACTACTAGAAATATGCATCTAATATTGACCCATATACCGGTTTTACATTATTTTAATGTATGTTTATTTTCAACAATAGTTTATTTATATTTTTGCCTGATTTCTTTATTTGTCTAGGCCAACCCTAATCCCTCACATTGATACAAAACATGATTCTATTATTAAAGATAAGCAAAGAAAATAATGACGATTAAACAAACGCCTTACCCGTTCTAGAGTTATTGGTACACAAAATAATAAAGAACTAGGCTTGAAATGAACTCATCTGGAGGTTTATTTTTTTATTTTTATCTTATGTTTTATATCTATGTTTATTTTATTTTCACCCATTTCTCCAAATGATATTTCTATCACCACTGCCACAATCCCTATGCCACCTCCGCCTATTTTTTAACAAATATCTATATTATAATTTTCCGATGTCCTCACTACGTCATCGTGACGTCATGTCATCGGTACGTATTTATTTTTATTTATTTTTATTTATTTTATTTGTTTATTTAATTTTTTTATTTGTTTATTTAATTTCACATTAATGAAATCTTTTTATACTCATATTTTTCTTTCATAACCAATAATTAAGAAGATAACCAAGTATATTCAAATATTTAAATATTCTTATCCTAACCTATTTATACTTAATAACATTACATTCATCATATTATTTTTTAACTTTTAGTATATCATAATAGGCCTGCATACCTAACATGGATGAAAAACAATATAAGAAGATAACCAAGTATATTCAAATATTCTTATCCTTATACTTAATAACATTACATTCATCATATTATTTTTTAACTTTTAGAATATCATAATAAGCTTGATAAGTCCCCCAAAAATACACATTAATGAAACCTTTTTATACTCATATTTTTCTTTCATAACCATTAATTAAGAAGATAACCAAGTATATTCAAATATTTAAATATTCTTATCCTAACCTATTTATACTTAATAACATTACATTCATCATATTATTTTTTAACTTTTAGAATATCATAATTGGCTTGATAAATCCCCCAAAAATACACATTAATGAAATCTTTTAATACTCATATTTTGCTTTCATAACCAATAATTAAGAAGAAGATAACCAAGTATACCTAAAAAAATATATTATTCGTCGAATAATTTTTTATCTATTATTCGATCGAATTATTCGAGATTATTCGACTAAAATAAAAATAATCATATATAAATCATATATTATTATTAGGAATTATTTGAAATTATTTCAATTTAATAAAATCTCCTAGTTTTACTGAAAATACAAAGTGTAGAAAAAAATTAAAGAAAAAGTAAGATTTTTTTTTGTTGAATAAGAAAAATAGTTGGAGTCTATTTAAAGTGTTGATCGATAAAAAAGGGGCGTTGAATTAAACAGCCAAATTAAGTGTTGAACGGTTTTAAAAGTGAGAAATACCAAGTGTTGATCGTTTTGAAAGGTTAGAAATATCACATTGGTGCCGTGACCAAAGCCCAAGTGTTGTGAATTATTGAATAAATTTTAAAGAGTTGAATTTGAACAGAATATACAAGTGAACCCAAGTGTTGTAAATTATTGAATAAATTTTAAAGAGTTGAATTTGAACAGAATATACAAGTAAACCCAAGTGTTGTAAATTATTGAATAAATTTTAAAGAGTTGAATTTGAACAGATGTTGAGAAATTATATTGTAATTTTATTAAAGGTTGTTATATTGTAATAACAGGTTGTAATAATAAATTGGCATAAAACAGAGTTGTTTTACAAGGAAATTGTTGATAAATTGATATTAAATAAAATTAGAGGAGAGATTCGAAACGAATTTAGCGTAGAAAAAATTTTGAGTTGAATATATGTATAAGTGTATAATTGGAGTATTTACGTTATTAATACTGTCTTCAAGTTATTAAAATATTTATTTTAAAGGTGATTGTTAATTTTTTGTGAGATGAAAAGTTTTAAATTTATAAAATACTGGGAGGTGCAATATAATATTATTGGAGCGTTGCTAGTATTAGGTATATGGATGTGTAGTTTAATCCTAGGAAGGAGAACTAGGCGCAATCGAAGTGTTAGGATCAAGGGGCAGACTTTGACGATAGAAGGAAATAATGGAGAGGAGGATGTAATGGGAAAGGTAACTTGGTTACCAGGTAAGGAATTAATAAATGGTTGGACTGATAGTGAGATATTAGGTTTATCAGAAAATAATTTAATAAATAGACGTGCTGATGGGGACAGCGTCTACATGGCCGGGGGAGGGGGGGTAGGAGACAAATGCCTCCAAAATATATTAGCATTTTTGGGGGTAGGTATCAATTTTAAGGGGTTGATATTAATTTTTTGGGGGTAGGCATTATTTTTTTGGGGGTAGGTATTGATTTTTGGTGGGTAATTTTTGATTTGAATTATAATCTTTTTTTAATCCATTAATTGATACGATTATGTTGGTTATCGTTTGATTTTCTGAAAAATGTCAATTAAAGTAAAGATATTTGTCAATTAATAAATAATATAAATTTTCTTTGTCAACGATTTTCATTTAGCATTTTATCAAGTTAATATTTACACATTTCCTATTTGGTACTTTTCTTAGAGGTTAATATATTTATATTATGTTTTTTATTAAATTTATAGATTTTAGCAGGATAAATTTTAGGTAATTTTTTGAGTCATGCATAAAAACATATATCAGCAAGCAAAGAATAATAAAAAACATAATATGTAAAAAATTATATTATAATAATTATTTCTTTCTAGATGCCAAGTAACAAAACCATATTTAAAGTTAAGTGCAATATTAAAAATTGCAAAACTTCTAAAATAAGAAGTGACAAGATACATGAACATTATAAACATAAACATCCTCATGTCAAGCCAGCTGATATGAAATTTACAAAGGTAGCCATCAAAAGAGATAATAATAATTGGGTATCTTTAAATTGTGATATTCCATATAATATCACAAATGGAGTTGAAACCCAGTTGCAAAAAAAGACAATAACATCTTACTTCCAAAAAGTAATATTTTTATTTATTATTGTAACTATAAATTTGTGAATTAATAGAAACTGATTTAAAATTTTACCAGAATAATATTAATATTAAAGTAGTCAGGGTATAGAGAAAATAAATTATATATATTATTATTTAATGTTTTTTAACTGTTTATCACACTATTTTTATATCTATATATACTTTATAAAGTTCAATTTAACAATATGTTTAATAAGTTAATAATAATAATTTAAAACCAAAGTATTAAAAAAACTTATTAAGTTAATATAATGTAGTAAAATAAGGTAATGTTAATTTCTAGGAATTTTTAAATTTAAATCTTTTCATCTTTAATTGAATTAAGACTTCAAATTCTTTTACTTTTTTTAAATATAAATCTTATAAAATATGATTTGGAATCAACTATTTTCAAAATGTTATCTGTGTGAGTTTCATCCCCTTTATTTACATTATGTGTTATATTAGGTATGTTTATTATCATTGTTTTATTTAGCTATTAGAATTTCTTTAGATAATATACTTTCATCATGAATTTCACAATTTTATTTATACTTAATATTGTTCTTTATTTTTATAGTCATTATAATATTGTTTTATGATTTCTTCATGTGATCGCAGTTTTATATTAATCTGCATCTATCATGCCTATGAATCTTTCAAGTATATTTTAAAAATGTTTTTACATGATCTAACAAAGTCATATTGATGTTTATGATTATTGCGTTCAAAATATGTGAATTCCCTTTGTATTCTACATTCACTTGTGCTTTACCTATTACTTGTATCATCTTTCCATTGTAACCTGATAACTTTATGTTGGACTTCATAATATTTTTAATACCTGTTTTCTCAATCATGTATTCATGTAGAATTAAAACATTTATTAAAAACTTAATTATAATGTAGTTAAAAAAAAATTATCATTTGCCTAAAAATTTATTAAAAATATAGTTATCATAAGGAAAGAAATTAAACTCCTCTTTATTTATAGAAAATCTCAGTTATTGAAGATTCACAAATTGTATTATCTCCTCATCCAATCCCCAGTTCCAGTGAGGTGTTTACTTTGTATGATGAGGTATTTAATTTAAATACGAATTATATGATAACTTTTGAAAGAAATAAATTATGATTATGAGGTTAATTAAATATTTCCAACCTTTATTAAAAACTTAATTATAATGTAGTTAAGAATAAAATGACCATTTGACTAAAATTTTATTAAAAATATAGTTTTTCATAAGTAAACAAATTATACTCTTTATAGCAAATCTCCAATATTGAAGATTCACAAATTGTATTATCTTCTCATCCAATCCCCAGTTCCAGTGAGGCGCTTACTTTGCATGATGAGGTATTTAATTTAAATACGAATTATATGATAACTTTTGAAGAAAATAAATTAGGACATTTAAATATTTCCAACATTTATTGATTAACTTAATTATAATGTAGCTAAGAATAAAATGACCATTTGGCTGAAATTATATTAAAAATAGATTTTCATAAGTAAACAAATTATACTCTTTATTTATTACAAATCTCCAATATTGAAGATTCACAAATTGTATTATCTCCTCATCCAATCCCCGGTTCTAGTGAGGCACTTACTTTGCATGAGGCATTATATTTAAATAAAATTTATATAATGACTTTTGAAGGGAATAAATTATGAGGATATTCAAAGTCCAAGTCTTATTCAGCTATACAAAAAAAAGGAACCAAATGACCCTTTTCACTTTATATTATTTAGGATGACAAATATTTTGATAAATTTCATAATTGCTGTAGGCCCTTGTCAGCCATGTACAAATAAATTTCAATATCCTGTTACTAACAAGAGGTTTTAAATAATATTTATTTTCATTAATTTTTACCCATCCATTATTTCTATACCAATATATTTTTTTTAACTTTTTAAACAGGAGCATGAATATAACCTATTATAGAAAGGTTAATATAGATGGTTCCCTCAACCCCAGAAATTGGCTATCTTATAGCACTACTTTAGACAAAGTCTTTTGTCTATATTGTATTATGTTTGGTGGCCCTAAGTCCAATACTTTTTGGACTCAACATGGGGTAAATAATTGGAAAAACATAAAGCGTGACTTAGAGAGACACGAAACATCTTCTCTTCATAAAGATTGTGAATATGCAAACATGACTTGGCTTGCAAATAAACGCATTCAAGATCATTTGCTATCAAATAAGCTTGATATAATCATGGAAAATCGTAATATAGTTCATAATATTATCAATGCCATTATGTACCTTATAAAATGTAATATAGCCTTTTGGGGTTCTAATTCGAATGAAGGTAATTTTATGTGTCTCATAAAATTAATGGCAAAAACGGTTCCAACTTTACGTGCATACATGGATAACAACGAAAAATTGCGGAGAAAAAAATCAGATAAAATTTCGAGACCTTATATAAATTTACTGTCATATGGCCACGTGAAAAAAATAACTGAAATTATTAAGATAAAAATAACAAAAAGCATTATTCAAACAATTAAAGAGAATCGTGCCTATAGCATCATATTAGATGGAACATATGATGTGTCTAAAAAAGAATGCATAGCTTTGCTTGTACGGTATATAGAAGATGATCTGCATCCATATCCTGTAGAAAGGATCATACATGTTTTTACAACATCAGAAACCACTGGGGAAAATATAAAGAAACATGTTTTTTCTAAGTTTAATGATCTTGGTCTTCCTCTTGATTATTTGGTTGGACAAAGTATGGATGGTGCAGGGAATATGAGAGGAGTATACAAAGGAATGCAGGCTTTAATATTGAAAGAGGCTCCAAAAGCCATCTATATTTGGTGCCATGCACATCGGCTAAATTTAGTAGTTGCTCATGTTTGTGGATGCAAAATTGAAATGAAAAAGGCAATGGGAATATTAGATGAGTTATATAATTTTATGAATGGAGTTAGACGTCAAGGTGTGTTTGTTAAATATCAAATGAGAAAGTCCAAGAAATCTCTTAAAAGAATTAAAAACACAACAAGGTAAATAAAATATTTTTAATGAAACTTGAAACTTATATATTTTCAGAAATTGGTCATCATCCTACAAATCTGTAGAAATCTTTTTAGATGTTTATGAACATATTTTAGCATCATTAGTTGAATTAAAAGATTCTAATGACCCAAGCACCTCTTCCATTGCCGATGGGTTATTATCAAGAATTAAAGATGAAAATTTTATATTAAGTCTTTTTATTTTGAAAGAAATATTGAAATGTACACATGAGGCTTGTATTGAAATGCAGGCAGTTGGTAATGATTTGGCTTTGGTAACCAAATTAATACAACATACAAAAAATAAATTACAAAAACTAAAAGGTTAATATTAGTTACTATTTCTATAAATAATTTTAAAATATAGCTAATGGAGACAATATATTTTTAAAATTACATTCCTTATCTAATAGTTTTTTGAAAAAGAATAATGTAATAACTGATTTGTATAATATGAAATCAATATTCAAATTGGATCAAACAGAATTCAATAATTATGTTGAACAAAAAAAAACAAGTTGAATAAATTAAAAAAATTTTAAATTATTATTTATTATTATAGATATAGAACGGAAATATTTTTCCCTGTTCTAAATGCAATAATTAATCACCTAAATGATCGATTTAATTATGATTGTTTAAATTTTTTATCACAGATATCCATTTTTACTCCCGCTGGAATTATGGATAATGAAAAAATAGAAGGATGGCAAATATCCGAAATTTGTAATACTTATCAATTGGATGTCCAAAACATTGTTGATGAATATAATGATTTTCGCTCTTTATATTTGGAGTCTCAATCAATCATTTTTTGCGAAGATCTTTTAAAAGTTAAAAAGAATGACGCGTTATATATTGATGAAAGTAATTTATTGATATTTTATTTGTAATTGTATATAATTAAAGGTATTGCAAACGATCAAATTACCAAAGAAAATATCAACAGCGAAATCATGACCAAAATAAAAAAATGGATAAAATTTTCTTTTATATTACCATACCGACTTTTAAATCAATTAAATTCTTATTCAAATTTAAATTTATTATATAAATATTTATTAACCCTTCCTACAACTTCCTGTTCAGCCGAAAGAGCCATGAGTAAAGTAAAAATTAACAAAACTCGAATGCGGAATAAAATTTCGGACCCATTTTTGGAAAATTTACTGTTAATATCCAGCGAAATTGATGTTTTTGAAAAATTTACAATTGATGATATTATAACACAATTTGCTTTAACATCAATAAGGTTATCCAAATTATTAATAAAATAATTAATGTATCTTTTTCACAGCGAATATATAGGCTTTTAAAATAATGTATATTTAATTTAACATTTTATAATTTCAATGCAAAATATACTATAATTCATTTTATTCTAATATTTTATATAATAGCTCTATTTACAATACATGTTTTAATAATTAAAAGGTAATATAGTATGTGGAATCAAGCTAAATATACCTCTTTAAATTTATTCGTCTTATATTTTTTACAATATTTTAGATCTTTTTCATAGAAATATTAATATGTTATCTCATTTAATTCACTTATATATATTTTATGAAAATAAAGTGAATATAACCAAATTATGAAAAGATTGCATTATTTAAATAAAAGTTCATTATCACTTACAAATTTTTAAATTTTTTTCCCTAAATAGGCTTGAAAGATTGTAAATAGAATTATGTTGTAAGGTTATAAATGGTGGCTTAGTATAAGATTTTTTAAATAAAATCACTATACCATCGTAGGTCTGTAAATTTCGCGGCCGAAGGCCGCAGGATTTTTTTTAGGTGGGTATGGGTAGATTTTGGAGGGGTTTGCCTCCATCAAATTTTCTGCCATGTAGACGCTGGATGGGGATGTATATGGAAAATATGGGTATAGAAATCAAGTGTTGAGATCATATGGGGACAGAGAAAATATGTTGAAAAATAAAACGGAGATGAAACCGAGATTTAATTCTCGAGGGAGGGGAGACGTAACTTGTTATAATTGTGGTGGACAAGGGCATATGGTCAGGGATTGTCAGGAAAAAAGGTGTTTTGGGTGCGGGAAACATGGTCATATAGCCCCCTTTTGCCCGCATAAACAAGAAAGATTGAGATGCGCCGGGTGCGGGAGATTTGGTCATAATAAAGAGGATTGTAATGTAGATAAATATAATACAAGGGGTGGTTTCCCACAAAGGGGAATGGATCAACAAAATACTCCCATTGTGCGAACGATAGAAAATAAGAGGAGCGAAGAAATAATTGTATCTAAACATAATGAGGAAGGAAGGGCGTTGAATGTGATGTGTTTTAAATGCCGGAGGGAAGGGCATGTGGCTAGAGATTGTTTAAATTGTTGACTATATGATAGTGGGAGTGATATTATTAAAATGGGGCAAGAGAAAGGGTTGAAAAATATAAAATCCAAGGATATCATTGGAAGAGAGGGAAAAAAAGGGTTGATAAATAAAGAATATAATAGAAATATTGAGGAAATAAAATGCGTAAATATGTTACAAGAGGGAAGGGCGTGTGATATTTGTCCCAGAGTGTTGTTAAATTTTAATGGAAATTTTGTATCAATGTTATATGATACAGGAGCAGCGATCACAGTGACAGGATATGATACATATCAAAGTGTTTGGCCAGATGAAAGAATAAAAAGAGAAGAAATAAAGGTTCGACAATTCGATGGATCAGAGATGACAATAATGGGAAGAGTCGAGATAGAGGTGATGATAGAGAACAGAATAGAAGTGTTGGATTTTTGGATCATTGATAAAAGTTGAAACGGTTTTGGGATGGGAATGGATTATACGCATTGGTCCTTGGTATAGTTTTTGGGGTGTATTTGCGTGGTGTGGTATATTTTTGCCCATTGTAGGTGATGATGAAAATGAAAGTATAATATATTCGGGTAATCAGAGGTTGCCAGGGGTTGAGACTATGTTTAATAGAGGAGAGATAGAAGAAGGGAAGGGAAGGTTTGAAATAAGGGAAAATTTTAGGGGAAAAATAAGGGAAAATTTTAGGGGGGAAATAGGGGAGACTTTTAGGGGAGAAATAATGGGAGACTTTTAAGGGGGAAATAGGGAAGAATTTTAGGGGGGAAATAAGGGAAAATTTTAGGGAGGAAGTAGGGAAGACTTTTAGGGGGGAAATAGGGGAGAATTTTAAAGGGGGAACTTGGGGGAAGGATCGCGAAATGTCATGCCATGGGTTGCAAAAAAGAGAAATTGAGTTGCGAGGAGAAGAGTTAGAAACAGAAAAATAGAAAAATAAAAAGGATATTGAGTTAGGAATGGCTCGAGTGCGGGAAGGAGTTGAGAAATTAGTTAACAGATATCAGGAGATTTTTGACGAAGGGTTGGGATGCTTAAGAGATTACGAAGTAGATATTAAATTAAAGGAAAATTGTGTACCAAAATTTTGTGCGTTGCGAAGAATACCGTTTGAATGGCGAAAGGAGGTGGAAATAGAGTTGAATCAATGGGTGAGAAGGGGCATCGTATGTCCAGTGGAATATAGTGAGTGGGCAACGCCCTTATGCCTGTGAAGAAAGCAAATGGGAAGCTTCGGTTGTGCGCAGATTTCCGGGTAACTTTAAACCCGTGGGTTGTAGAAGTAAAATATCCGTTGCCACGGATTGAGGAGATATTGGCCAATTTAAAGGGAAGTTTATATTTTTCCAAAGTGGATTTTCCCAATGCGTATTTACAACTGCGAGTGAGGCCAGAGGTGGGAAATTTGTAAACAATTACTACTCCGCAAGGGTTGTATGCATTTTGTAGATTGCCGTTTGGACTTAGCGTATCGGCTCCGATTTTGCAGCGGATCATGGCGGCTGTTTTCCAAGGGTTGGAAGGGGTTTACTATTATATGGATGATGTGTTAGTGACGGAAATAACGCCGGAATAACATGAACAGAGGTTGGAGGAGGTGTTTAGGAGAATTCAGGAAAAGAGTTTGCGAGCAAGTGCTGAAAAAAGTGTGTTGGGGGTCACAGAAGTTGTGTATTTGGGACACAGAATTACAGGAAAGGAGGTGAGACCCATAGATAAAAATATGGTTGAAATAACGAATATGTGTAGGCCAAGTAATAAAGTGGAAATACAATCATTTTTGGGGATGGTCAATTATTATCATCGATTTGTGGAGGATTTTGCGCAAATAGCAGCACCATTATACGAATTGTTGAAAAAAGGAGCACGTTTTGAGTGGAAAAACGAACAGGAGGAGGCGTTTGAAGCGTTGAAATGTAAGATTGGAAAGGAACCAGTGCTTGTGTGTTATAACCATGATTTGGAGGTTATGTTGGCAGTGGATGCATCCAATAAAGGGGTTGGTGGAGCCTTATTACATTGTATAGATGGGTTGGAAAGACCGGTGATATTTTTCTCCAGGATCTTTAAATCAGCGGAGACGAGGCACTCGGTTATTGAAAAAGAAGCATTGATAGTAATATTTGTTTGACCAAGTGTAGGGAATATTTAATTGGGCGGAAGTTTGTTATATATACGGATCACAAACCTTTAGTGTATCTTTTTAAGAAAGATAATAAAGAGTTGATGTTATCGCCAAGATTACAGAGATGGTTGTTATTGGTGGGTAGTTTTGACGTTCAAGTCAAATATCGGCTTGGGAGAGAGAATTATTTACCGGATATTTTATCCAGATGTGGAGCAGAGAATTTGTGATGAACGAAAAGGGGATGAGGAAGAGAATGAGCAAGTGATGATTCGAACGGTAGCTGCAATATCCAAGGGAGGACCCGTAACATGGGAAGGGCTGAAAAGTGCTACATTAAAGAATCGAGAGTTGACGCGAATTAAGGCGTATATAGCGGGTAGAAAACCATGGAGAGCTGGGGACAAGAGGTTCAAAAATGTAGAAAAGGAGTTGACTATAGTGGATGAATGTGTGGTGCGAGGAAATCGTGGGGTAGTTCCGAGGAAGTTAAGAGAAGCCGTGTTGAACATGACTCATGCTGGGCATTAAGGGGTAGAACGAATGAAACAATGAGGAAGAGAATATGTGTGGTGGCCTGGAATGAATGAGGAGATTATAAATATAAGCCGGGGTTGCGTGATATGTAACTCCTGGGCCAGTATGCCTCGTAAAGATAAAGAAAGTGTTTGGCTGAAAGCTACTCAGGCGTGGGACAGGGTTCACATCGACTTTTTCGATTTTGAGAACAAGATCTATATACTTGTGGTGGATGCTTATTCAAAGTGGGTAGAATATGAGGAGGTGAGAGGTTTATCGACGCAAGTGGTGATAAAAACATTAAAAAATCTGTGGGCCAGGTTTGGGGTTGCAAAAATAATTGTTTCGGATGGAGGGCCAGCGTTTATAAGTGGGAAATTTAAAACCTTTTGTGCTGAAACGGGTGCGAAGCATATATTGGCTCAACCTTACCATCCGAGTTCCAATGGTCAGGCGGAGCGAATGGTGGCGGTAGTAAAGAGTTGGTTAAATCTAAATATGGAGGGGGTGGAATTTGGATAGCGGTAGCGTATTACAATAATAGCAAAAAAGGGGAAGAAAAATCTCTAGCGGAGAAATTTTTGGGGCGTCGGACTCGTATGCTGTTGGATTTATTGAAGCCCGTGCCGGATGAGTTGCAAATGACAAAGGTTAATGATGAGCAAGGGGTGAATAAGACCTGCGAATTTGTAATAGGTCAAAATGTGTGGATCAGAAATTATGGAGGTTCAAGGAAATGGGAGTTGGGAAAAATAGTGGAGAAATTGCGGAGCAGATTATATAAAGTCAAGTTTGGGGATGGAAGAGATGGTGTAAGGCATTCCGATTAAATACGGAGGGGAGTGGAACCGGGACGGTTGAGATCGGGAGGTGTGGTGTTGAGAGAGAAGTGAAATATCAGGACTAAAGAGTTGTAATATATAAAAAGAGGGGGTGAAACAAGAGTTATATCTTTGTGAATTTGTAATATCTAAGGACAAAGAGATGCAAAACCTGACTGACTAATATAGATATGACTAAAGGGTTGTAATATATAAAAAAAGGGGAGGTAAAACAAGAGTTGTCTCTTTGGGAATTTTTAATGTCCAAGGACAAAATGTTGGGTAATCGTATTGACCGATATAGATATATATATATCTCCCTTTACCACATGATGTTTGCAATAAGTTAGAAAAAATTCTCAGGTATTCCCTTTGACATGTTAATCGATAATTGATCAAAAAAAAATTTTTTTATTTTTCTATTTCTTTTATTTTGACCATAATAATGTATGTTACATATAAGTCACAAATTGTATTTAACAAACAATTTATTGTATTTTATATATTGGTATGAAATAAAATAAAACAGTTTTTATTTGCATGGAAACATAGTGCACATTGGCATTTCGAGCATTTTACATGTGTAACGCCTTTACATAGTGGATTTTTGCACCTTTGACGATTATTCATCCACTCTGGGAAATGTCCAATTTGATCCGTGCGAATATCTGTGGACGGTACGAAAGACATAGGCCCCCTTCTTTTTTTATCTAAATGAAAATATTATAAAATAATAAATAAATAATCACCTTCTATTAAATTTTCGACCATAGAAGAAGGACGTCCACGTTTCAATTCTATTGTAGCTTCAACTTGACACATTGTTGTGGCTACTTCTTGACGAAATTCCGATAGAGAAAAAAACAGAATTGTCATCTGATTTGGCTTTCTCACATTGAATACGCCGATATAATAACCAGGAATTTACAACTGCTATATCAATAAGGTGTTGGAAGACTCTTATATACCACTTTTTAGATCTGGTTGTATTATGGTATCTTCCAATATTGCTGTCTAACAAATCAACCCCTCCCATATGTTTGTTATATTGTTTGACAAGCATGGGACAAGTTATATTTAGTCTTTTCTTGGTTTTGCGGTCATATCGTTCAATTTGACTCTGGGGTAATTTCCCGTACAATGTTGACAAAAAGGTTACCGTTTTATTATCTTTCCATACTAAGGAAGTTATATCTACCCCTTCAATATTTGCCATATATTCAAAGGATGACCCTCTGATCTCTTTTTTCATTTCGATCTCTGTAGGAAGCTTACAATTTGGGATTCTATTCCTCCTTACTGTACCAAGACTGTATATACCTATAAATATACTTAAAATATTAAATATATAATAGATTTCTTATACCTTTTTTTGCCAAATATATCAAAAGGTTAATTGAGGTGTAGTAATTGTCAAAATATAGCTTAAAATTTTGATTTATAGGTATAGTACGGCTTAGACGCACAACAATATTGCTGGACGCTCCTAAATCTGGTTCTGTCGCTGGTCTCTTTTCAGAATCATTTTCCTGCCCAGAATATAGTTCAAAATCATAGGCAAATCCTGATACACCGCATAGAATGAAGAATTTAAAGCCCCATTTGTGAGGCTTCATTGGCATATATTGTTTTAAATGTATCCGAGCTTTAGTTGAGCAAATTTGCTCATCGATTGATAAGCATTCCTCTTTAGGAATTGTACGAAACCTATCTTGAAAGTGTTTCACAATTGAGGCTACTTTTATAAGCCTATTATAGCCTGGTTGACCTTTAGCTATAGAATTATTATTGTCATTAAAATGAAGAATGGATCGAATGCTTTCAAATTTAGTGATTGTCATGGTCTTTTTTATAAGATCATTGCCAATTACATCTTTCCAATAGTCTCTGATAGATGGTAATTGGACAATGGACATCAGAATATTAATCCCAATAAATTTTCTTAACTCCATTTTGGAAATTTTTATAGGTTTATTTATATTTTTTATTGCAGCGTATTTAGTTGATTCGAGAACCACTAAATCTAGGAAATTATCATTTAAAAAATATGATAAACATTGATATGGAGAATTTAAAGCCAGTATGTGGCTGGCCAAAGTTGACTTTCCATTGAATTTTAAATAATTTTTAGGGATGTTTATATTTTTTTCCTTCCATAGTATGTCTCTTCGTCTATTTATAGCAGTAAAATTATCTGAAAATAATGAATTTTCATCCTCATTATCGTCGAAATCTTCAAGGCTATCATCAGAAGAATCAGATGATGAAATCATCTTTGTGTCTTTTGTGTTACAAATATATTAATGCTAGTAAAAAAATTTTAATTAAACTTTTTTTAAATATAAAAACGGAAAAGAATATAGAAATATTTTAGTTATCTGTTGATATTTTTTTTGAAAAATAATATCGGAGTTTAATATTAAAAAAATGTAATTAAAAATTACGAAAAATGTCAATTTTGAAATATAGGGAACAGCTGACATTAAATACACGCACTTTAAATAAATATGAGAATTTCTATTTAAAAAAATGATTTTTATATAAAAGGAATGTTACTTGTAAGACACAATTCAAATTTTAGCGCCAAAATAATTTAAACGGTAAAATAGGTCAGAAAATTCACTATGTGACTGATTAGTAGTCATATGTGATAAAGGGTTAATGCGTAGGGTTTTCTTATTAAGGGATGTGTAATTAAGGGAGTTGACCAAAATATATCGCGTTGGTCGACAACAATATATATATCTTATTACGGGGTGATTTCTTATTACGGGTTGTCTAATTACAGGAGTTGAATTAAATATATCATTTCGCTGTATGATAAAAATTGTTGTAAAATAAAAATAAAGTAATGAGTTGAAAAATAAAAGAGAAGTAGTTAATTTTATTATTTAAAAAATTTTTTTTTGAAAATTAATTTTGATAATTAATTAATTAATTTGTAGAGTAAAAAGAGTTGTGAACAAGGTCGTTGTAAAAAAAAGGGTTGTTTGTAATTGAACACAAGGGGAAAAAATGTAAAATTTGGGATGTTTGTGGAGAAAAATTACAAGAGTTGTTAAAATTTACGAGCGTGGCAAGTTTTGGCAAAATAATTATGGGGTGTCACGATGTTGTAAATAAAAAAATTGGCGTTGTTTTTAAAAAATTTTTAAGAGTTGTTCTTTTCTTGAAGATTAAATTGTAATTTTTTTTAAAACTAAAATAATTAAAATATTTTTTGAAAAATAATTTTTTTTAATTAATTTATATATGTTAGTCCACAAATTTATATATTTACCGGGGATGATCATTAGGATAAGTGTGTATACGCAGAATACCGAAGTACGATTAGCCGAATTCCCTCCGCCGGCGGTCCAATCAAACCCGATGAGAAGGGGACGAAATCCCCCGAGAACATGTTATCTTTGTCAATCAAGGGATCATTTACAAGACAGATGTCCACGAAGACCGAGGAGACAGTTCAAGCGGCAGCCAACAAGAGAATTCCCGACAGGACCTGTGATACAAGAGGTGCCAATATCAAGGGTGACGCCCACGGTGACAGAGACCTTGGATCCAGCGGGAATAATAAGCAATGGACCAACCGAAGCGCCGGAGATCGTTGACTTAGAAATGACAGATATAGAACTAGATGCCTTTTTGAGGGGAGAGTAGTACCGGGTTGAGGGGGAATTCAATTTTCGGCGGAGGACATATCGTAATTTATTAATTATCATTTGTAGATTACATGTTTTTCATTTTAAAATAATCCATTTTCTAATATAATTTATTAATTATAGATTACATGTTTTTCATTTTAAAATAATCGACTTTTTAATATTATTTATTAATTATCATTTGTAGATTACATGTTTTTCATTTTAAAATAATCGATTTTTTAATATTATTTTTTAATTATTAATTATAGATTACGCGTTGTTTTTTTTTAAAATAATCGATTTCAATATTATTTTTTTAAAATTATTAATTATAGATCACGCGTTGTTTTTTTTTAAAATAATCGATTTCAATATTATTATTTTTTAATTATTAAAATTATAGATCACGCGTTGTTTTTTTAAAATAATCGATTTTTTAATATCATTTTTTTGATTAAAAAATATAATATTGTTTTATTATTATTATTATTGTTTTTTTAAAAAGTTGTTAAAAAAGAAAAATTTTTTTTTTTATCATTATATTTCTTTGGATTGAAATTTAAAGAAATTAAAAAGTAAAAAAAATATAGTCATCAAGAATTATTTTACTGAAAATACAAAGTGTAGAAGAAAATTAAAGAAAAAGTAAGATTTTTTTTGTTGAATAAGAAAAATAGTTGAAGTCTTAAAGTGTTGATTAATAAAACAGGGTCGTTGAATTAAGCAGCCAAATTAAGTGTTGAACGGTTTTAAAAGTGAGAAATACCAAGTGTTGATCGTTTTTAAAGGTGAGAAATATCACAGTAATTAATATTAAATTAATATCATATAAAGAAAAATTTTTAAATTTTTTTTAGGCATACAAATATACAAGTAAATAATACAGAATACTTATCCAATTTATACAAATAGTTTACATGTACAACTTAAAAATATATTGAATCTAGTATATTAAAATATTTAATTTAGCGTAAATATACATTTTAAAAAAAAATATTGTATTTATAAAAATAATAAATATATATAATTACAATAAAATATAAGTAATTTTTGTTGTACATAACGGAATTTAAGAAAAATATATAATTTAACAATTCTAGAAATTTTAAGAAATTTAACAACCAACGACTTCATAATACAAAGTATAATAATGGAAATATAATTAGTGCAAATGATTATATGAAGAAGAAAGGGGGAGGGGGATTTTAAATAATCTAGGGAAGAAGAAGAAAATCTAGATTGTGAAATTAGATTTTATAATCTGAATTCCTATGCGTTGACGTAAGTAGACGCCTTCTTTTGGATCTCCTGATTTTGTTCTTAAGGTTCTGCCAATCTTTTTGTATTAATATAAATTTTAGTAAATACCTTAATCAAATATTTAATATAATACATAATTAATATTAAAATCATTTAATTAAATGGAATTAATATAAATTTTAATAAATATATAATTGTAATAATTATCATAATATAATTTTAATATAATATTTAAAGTAATTAATATATTTAATTTAAATTAATTTGATATAAAGAAAAATATATAAATTGTATTAATATAAATTTTAGTAATATATAATTATAAAATTTAATATGATTTAATTATAATATAATAATTAATATATAATTAAAATAGTTTAATTTATATTATATATTTATAATATTATTTACATATTTTAATATTATTTACCTATTTAATATAATTTATTTATAATTCAATATTAAATATAATACAATATTAAAACATTTTTTTTATATATATGATATAACTTAATTTAATAATATAAATATAGGTTAATTTTTTTTGTAATATTTATTCTAAAAAAATAGCCGAGGATGATAGGACTAGGAGTCATTTACTTACATCATTTTCTGAATATTATTTCATGAGACTTATAGCTGGGTAGGATATAAAAAATAAATTTGGGGTAAAAGGGTAAATCAAATTATTCGTAAGTATTTATGCTTATTATAAGATAAATTTTATTGGTAGAAGGTTTTAGTCATTTATCTTACTAACAACTTCTATTATCCAATATATTTATTATTCCTATAAATATAAGATTTACTCATATTTTAATTTTTTTAAGATTTCTAATGGTTAATGGGAATATGTTAATCTTTTTTCCTACTAGGAACTCCATTAATAAAATTTTTATCATAGGGATTTATATTTTTTATTCCTATAAATATCAGATTTACTCATATTTTAATTTTTTGGGGATTTCTAATGATTAATGGGAATATGTTAATCTCTTTTCCTACTAGGTACTCCATTAATAAAATTTTTATCATAGGGATTTATACTTGTTATTCCTATAAATATGAGATTTACTCCTATTTTAATTTTTTTTAAGATTTCTAATGATTGATGGGAATATGTTAATATCTTTTCCTACTAGGAACTCCATTAATAAAATTTTTATCATAGGGATTTATACTTGTTATTCCTATAAATATCAGATTTACTCATATTTTAATTTTTTTTTGAATTTCTAAAGATTAATGGAAATATGTTAATCTCTTTTCCTACTAGGAACTCCATTAATAAAATTTTTATCATAGGGATCTATACTTGTTATTCCTATAAATATGAGATTTACTCATATTTTAATTTTTTTTTAGATTTCTAATGATTAATGGGAATATGTTAATCTCTTTTCCTACTAGGAACTCCATTAATAAAATTTTTATCATAGGGATATATACTTGTTATTCCTATAAATATGATTTATTTTGTTAGAGGTTTCTAGTCACCTATCTTACTAGGAAATCTATTTATCATACGTGTTTATTCATATAAATATCTGATTACTTAGATATTACTTAAAAATATTGTTATACGGCTCGATTTGAGTCGAGTTTTTAAAAACGGCTAACTCAAATTTTCGCTAGCAAAATATTGACTAAGCCTCGAGATTTAGCTAATAGATGCCAAACCTTTATGCCACCTCTGAGCAAGGTCTGCTGGCTTGCCTAATATTTTTTCGGATAAAATATTGAGTTGAAATATAAGCCTAACAATTTTATTATTACTTTTGCAATTATATCAATAGTATATATAAATATTATTATTGTGATTGATAAATATAAAATAATGATTGCAATTGTATAATAAGGCTATATAAAATAATGATTGCAATTTATATTTCAATAGTATATAAATTTATATTTATTGAGACTATATATTGATGAAGGTATATAAAATAAAGATTGCAATTTGCATATCAATTATAAAATTATATTTATTAAGACACTATATTGATGGTGGTTTATAAAAATTTGTATATATTGCAATTGAATATTGATTGTATATAAAATGATGATTACAATTTGTAAATCAATAGGTGGTATATAAAATAATGATTGCAATTTGTAATTTAATAGTAATATATAAAATTATGGTAATTACTTTTTGCATATCAATATTATATAAAATAGTGCAAATTTGGTATAAAAAGCTTTAAAAAATGAAAATTTTGACAGCATGATCATAATATTGATAAAGAGTGATGTGAATTTTTAGCTAAAAACCAAATAATTAATAAATATCTATGTATGCATATAATAGTTTTCTCTATTTTGAGAATATAAATAATTATTAGAAAATAGTAGATTTTTATTAAATTTAT